GTTATCTATATATAAATATAGATCTATATATATATATGCATATATACATATCTATATATATATTTTATATATATATATATATATATTTATATATATATATATATGTATGTATATATGTTTGCCTATATATATATATAGATAGATAGATATATATCTATATATATTTATATATATATATACATAAATATATATATATGTACATATATATATACTTATATATATATATGTGTGTGTATGTGCAGTTCGATATTCTTCATTTTTTACATGGCCCTCTAGATTTGTGTCTCTGCTCAATTTAAATACGATTTCCGCTACGTCGTTTTCAAGTTTCAATTTTCAAAGGTAAATAGTCAAATACTAAGTCTCTTTAAAAGTCTACCGAGTACCGACAGCCATAGATATCAATCTGTAGGCTGTACATATGGGTCGACGGCGCATGTTGTTTATAAATATGTAGCTACATATTGCCAGGGGAAAATGGAAATGCTATGTACTACAGTTCAAAAAAAATTGTTTTACAAAAACAAAATGTGACAACAGTTGTTTTGATATCTCTAGTTATTTACTCTCTAAATACTCAGCTAGAGAGTAGATGTGTCCAGCAGGGGGGACAGGAGAGCTGGCCAGTAGACAATAGTGGATAGTGAGTGGACAGTTGCGCAATCTACCAGCTAAATATGTGACTAAATGACTATTGAAGTATTGATAGCTGATGCCTGATGGTGAATAATATATCCAAATAATCACAGGAGCCGGCGAAATGTAGATATTTGTACAAAATACATCACTTCCCTCAGTACCCTTCTCACAATTACAAACATCGCGGTTGTTTTAAATTGAGCATTTTTATGGGAGTATGGTAGCCAAAACTATTGCGGTGCTTGCCGCTGTCGTGTCTGTGATTAGTGCTATGAGTGCGTCCGATGGATTTGGTGAAGCTTACTTCGATTGCACAGTACCTGCATCCTGTACTATCCCACTTGAAGACGGAGGCGAAAGTTGCGATACCAATGCAGAATGCTGTACCTATGCCGAATCGCCCGCCGCATTCATCGAGAACGATCCTCGAGATTCATGTACTTTCATGCAATTGCTGTGCCAGCGCGGTGTCGACTTCGAGAATAGTTCGTTTGCGCGATGCCACGCATATCTCAGCGGATAAAGCACATACACGCCTGGTAATGTTACTGTACCAACAGACTGTGATTACAAATGTGATGGGCTTGATGTTGAGCTTACTCAGGAAAACCGCCGCCGCCGCCGCCGCCGCCGCCGGCGCCAAACGGGTGTCGACCCATTGCCTGATAGTACCGTTTCAGTAAGTCTTGCAGACTGTCAGTGGGAGTTTGGTAATATGTAAGTTAATCGTGGAAGCGAAAACCGTGGTACAGGTGTCAAAGTCGCCGTTTTCAAGGGTGGCCTTGATATCGCACACGAAGCCATGCCTTCACTAGAGCGTATCAAGCGTGTTTGCGATACCACAACCGACGAAGTGGTCGATGGAGTTGAGCCCAATAGAGGCGATGGAGCCTGGTCCGTCCCAGTTGCCTCTGACGAGAGATGATAAGAGCTCGGGCACCATCAGTACACTATTGGGACCTCGCACCGAGACTGGTATCGAAGGACTAGTCCCCGATGCAGACCTATTGCACTACAAGGTTGTAAGTCCGTACTTGTCACCTACAATGATTGATTGTACAACGCTGTGGTTGATGGGGTGGATAATGGAGCTGAAGTTTTGTCGTTCCAATTCGAATCTGCGACGACTTGCTTTGAAGATATTACCAACACAGCGTTTGCGCCGTCTGCTGAGCCACCTCTGCCGTACTGGACCAATTTCACAGCCGAACAAAACGCAACATGGCCAGCAGAACGTCTTTCACAAGATATAGCTGAATACGAATCCAAACCTGAAAGCGACAAGAATGAACTGACCCGGGCCTTACCAGAAGCTATGGTAGCATACAATGCAGAGTGGGAGAAGGAAAACGCTCAGTATGAAGCGGAAAAGCGTGCCTATGTAGAGGGTGCGATGATACATGAGCGCGCCCACTTTGACGCCATGTTTCAGTACGCGTATGATAATGACGTCTTCATGGTATCTACAGTTGCGACCACAGTAGAAGAAAGGGAAGCCAGAGGGTTCGCTGGATGCGTTAATCGTATCATGCCTTCGATCGAATGATCTAAAAGGCCGTATATGGTAGGCACTGTTGATCCAACCATGCGTGTCAGTGAGCGAACGTCAAACGGAACTATTTCTGGCGGTGTGAATGCAGTCGCGCCCGGTGGCGAACTATTCTTTGGCGGCGTTGTGTCCCCTGCATTGCAGTCTATTATAGGACTGGCTACCGCCACTACATGCCAATACCGTGTTGTGTGGACTGCCACAGAAAGCACAGTACAAGAAAAGCGTAACTTCTACGAGTTCAATTCTGGAACTGTGCACGCAATTGCAACAGCAACTGCCGTGGCAGTGATGGCGGCCCAGGCTATTGAGCGTGGTGAAAATGCAACCATACTGGCTGTCGAGGATGAACTCAAAAAGTATACTATTCAGCCAACATGGTGCGGAACTGACTGTGACGCATATGGTTCTGGTATACTTACAATGCAAGTACAGGAATAATTCATGGTAAAATAATTAGAATGAAACAATTAAACCAGGTAGTCAGAATAAAATATTTGTAGAACGAATTTTTGTAAATACAAACACGACTAAGCATATTAAAAATGCCTCAATAATATACTATACAAGGTTTATACATAAATATGTATATATATATATATATATATATATATATATATATATATATATATATATATATATATATATATATATATATATATAATAATAAATAAAATAAACTAAACTAACTAACTAACTAACTAACTAACTAACTAACT